GCTATCATTATCTATTTTAAGGACACAATGTTTAAAAATACAATATTGCTTTTCTTTGTAATTTATGCGCAAGGAGAAAAGCTAGTTTGTCAACGTTATAATCCATCTGCTGATTATTCACTTCAAGAGAATAATAGTGTTTCAATTGGATTACAAAAGTGTAATGCATGTTTAAACATTGCTGTTATTGGCGCTGGTGTTTCTGGTTTAGTAACAGCAGTAGAAATGTCCATGAGTGGTCACAAAGTGACGATATTTGAAGCTAGTGATCGTATAGGCGGACGAGTGAATACATACCGAAGTAAAGATGGAAAATTCTTAACAGAACTTGGTGCTATGCGATTTCCATTAGACCATCATACAATGTTAAAAACATATTTGTCGAAACGATATAAAATACCCATTGAACCGTTTATTGAAGAAGATCCGAACACAATAATGTATATAAATGATATATTAACAACGTCTGGTCAAGCTCAAAGAAATCCGAACATATTTGAATATAATGTAAAACCAAGTGAAAAGGGAAAGGTATACAAAGAGTTATTTAATGCAACAACAAAGGGAAGCTCATGATTTAATCGCAGCTGAGAGGAGCGAAACGGCTGAAACTCTCCTCGCACTACTGCACTGACTTCCGGTTATTCGGCTAGTTTATAGAACTTACTGCACAAAAAATCAATAAGAAAGTTATTCAAGAAAGATCATAAGTTACATTCTTTCTACCGCCTAGATGTTTTCTAACGAGAAAACCTTTCCCAGATAACCAAATCCAACTTCAATGAAACATAGATTTTCAGGATTATTCATGATGCTAGTCGCGAATCTGATATTCATTTGAGTTCATAAAGCTTTTTAGAATCAGTCTTCAGAGGCCAAAGTCTGGAGACTTGCCACTCTAGTCAGCTTAACAGATTCCACTATAGCCAGATTGTAGAGCACGTCGAGTTACCTATGTAAAAAATGTTTCAGAATTAAATGAACTGGTCACGCTGAACATAATAAGGAAATAGAAAACTAAACGTGTTATATCTCCGATAAAAGTTACTTGTTGATTGTGAAACGTTTTTCATATAGGTAACTCGACGTGCTCTACAACCTGGCTGTATTAGAATCTGTTCAGCTGAGAGTAGCGAGTCTCCAGACTTTGGACCTCTGAGGGCTGGCTCTATGAACTCAAATGAATATTAGATTCGCGACCAACACCATAAATAATTCTAAAAATCTATGTTTCATTGGAGTATTTCGTAAGATTCATTTTTAGACTCCCACGGAGCTTTGGGATAAGGCAACCAAACCAATTGTCGATATGATTCAAAATCATGGTTATCCATCGGCAGTTGAGAAATGGGGATCTTATAGTGTTGAACAGTATTTAGTTGAAAGTGGCCTATCACGTGACGCAATCAATTATATTTCATTAACTCAAGATATTGAAACACTATTGTATACATCGGTAATTGAGTATGTGCGAATTTTGATGATTTTGAGCGCAAAAACAAAATTTTCTAGAATAAAAGGTGGAAATGATCGTTTTCCCCATGCTCTTGTTGCCAGTTGCCTAAGTATACCAGGTAATCGGTGTTCAATAAAAAAACTTCTAATAACATAGTTTGAGCGAGAGCAAAATAAAAATCTTAAAATGTTTCCGAATCGCCTTCGATACATTTATTTTTGATTAATTTGATTTCATTTTG